TGGGCAGAGGGACAGTGCGCGCGGGCTCTATGTAATCGCTGCTCGGCTCAAACACTGGGAACAAAACGCGCTCCAAATGACCACAACTGCACTTATTCCTCATGAGTGCGTAGAAGTCATGGTTCGCCGCCTTAACTGTGAACGGGTCCTCTCTATTGGCTTGTCTTCGGCCGCAATCACACGCGCAGATCAGTTTAGCGCCACTCATATGTCTCATCGATGGTAACCTTTGCTTCGAATCGGATTCAGTGTCCGAATCATTGTTATCATCGCTGTTGTTGTCGTCTTCGGTTTTGAGTCTATGGATTGGATTAATGCAGTGATTGTTGGTTAGACTCAACACTTCACACATTTGGTGTCCATTAGCCCAGTAGTCGTCACACTTTTTAGAGATAAAAACAATACACATATTTTTGAAGTTCGTAAATACCATAAAATAAGATAATATAAGAAATTAGATAAAAAATGGACAACAAATTGAATGAACGCATAGTCTGTGCGGTCACTGTCACAGACCTCTCCGAACACTGCATTCAATCAAATGAAGTCTGTTTAGAGACATTACTCTCTCTTTGTTTGATTGCATTAATGAGTCAATTGTTTGTCTGAAGGCATTACTATCAATAGATAACTACTATTCATGTCTTTCATTCAAAGCACTCGTTCCCATATGAAGTCACTTTCATTACTCACATTGCGTTTGAGTTGTTGGCCAAAGTCATAGACCGCCGAACCCCTGGCCTGTAAAGTGAAGTGTTGCAAAGCGTGCGCTAATTTGCGTTCATGAAAGTCACGGGTATAGTGGGAGGGCAGGGAGTCCTGATATATGCCCATTGCTATGGGCAACACTTTGGCGCACCGGGACTCTGAAAACCGGGTGTCGATGTCTAGCGACGAATGCAGTGAATTGAATATTGTCTTAAGGCTTGAATTCTCGACATTTGCCGAAAATAATAGTTCTTTGAGTTTGAGTGCCGTCTGAAAGAACTCCTTAGCGGAGGGCAACTCGAAAATAGGAGGCGCCGCGTGTCGGCCAATGTTATCATCGAAACCCTTCGAGTGTGCGATCCCTATGTGTGTCCACAAAAACGAGTGAAACGAATTCGCTTCGCAGTCGTTCTCCTCATCACTGGAACTGCTATTCTTGTCTTCAGTATTGCAGTACTTAATGAGTCGACTCATGAGATAATCACTGGAGTGACGAATTGTCGGATCTGTGGTCGATATGAAGACATAGTCGTGATGTGAAGACACGGCGAACAACGAGTTGGCGCTTATGTTTGTGATGAGACGGGTCTTTCGCAATATCCTATAGATCTGGTCCTCGAGTTGTCTCTCGGCGTTCCGGAGCTTCTCTTTCGTGATGAACTGATTCTTGCCGTAAGACTCGAACACAAAGAGCGCTCGAGGGCTACACAGACGACCCGATTGGACCCAATCGGCCGGCAGTGATGACAACGACTGAAGACATTCAGTGATAATTGACTGCAACTTCTGTCGCGTCGAGTCTAATATCCTAAACATATTGATCTGATTTAAGTCGAAATGAGGCGATGGACTCACTATTACTATGATATGACTTAAATGGAAGAGAAGGAGAAGTGCTTTACAGAGGTTTGACTGCAAGTCGGGCCACACCTGAAGGAAACCCTGTGTTTGCAAACCATTCACATGAAGACAATTAGTGGTAATTACGGTGTATTTGATTCGTAATAAAAAAATATTACAAAACCTTTTCGTAGATATCTTTCTCAATGTTTCTGCAGATCTGAGTCATTGCTAACGAATCCAAGACTGATGTCAAGTGAAGGAAAATCACTTTATTTCGGACGTCATAATAGCCATCAATTTGACAGTTCTGTCCATCAAAAGACAATTTAAGATATCAATAACTCTGACATCAAAACACATCCATATGTCAAAGCATTCAATGGATTGTAAAGTGGTTTAAGTGATGATCACGTCATCCATTGATGGCATATAAGACTAACCGTCAGTTCAGAGATAGTCTTCGTTTGGCAGAAGAGGCCGCGGAAGACATTTTTGCCGATGGATTGGTCCACAAGAGAAGCCTTCGAGTTGTGGGCCGACAGACAGGACTTCCCGATGACTGACACGACACACACCTTATCCTTACGTACGGATTGACGGCTTTTGTTGAGAAATTCAATTGAATTCCTGTTTTCAAGACACAAATCATCAGTAAATTGATGGCAAAGTCACCACAAATCCGGTGATAACTCACTCAAGAGTGGGTCCGTTGTCTCCAAACATATGGAAGCTATGGTTGCCTTCGTTTGGCGTAACCGTCGGTCCATTTCCTGAGGGAGACATCGCGGCCACGGATCAGTTCAGCGGTGATAATGTCTTAACTGTAGTGTCAATCAGTGTCCACTCAACCAATCAATTCATTCAAAGTTCACAACAAATCCAATGTTTTGTTTTGGTTTCGGTTTGGCTTTGAGTCACACATTAATTACGTTTACTGTGAATACGTCCACTAATTGTCGCATTGTTTCCCAAACTGTAAACTTAATAAACTGTTCTAAATGTCCTAAATGACCATGGTCATCAATTCATTGAATTCATGAAGATTTTATTTATATATAATTTATTTAGTATTTAAGTTATAATTTAATTAAAAGGTTTTACTTGAAGATATTTTTTGTAGTAACTATTTATTTATTTATTTATTAAGAATTTTAAAAGTTTTTATTTGAATTAATAGTGTTTTGAAATGCTAATAAATAATGATTATTTGATGTCAATATAATAGAGTTTAGTGGCTTATGTTTTATTAACTTTGCATTTAATTAAATTGTATTTTTCTCTTATGTATAGCAAAGTAGAGCTATATTTGTCACTCGTTTCCGAAGTCATTAAACTATTGATTACTTAATAGATTTGTTGACAGAATATATAAATAATAAACAAAAAAGTTTTTGAAACTTTTATATTTGATGCCAAAATAGATGCTTAGATTGCGCATAGATTATATCTAAAACCTAAACTCTATTTTAAAAATAAAAACCAATTTATATTGCGAGACATTAATGTGTCCGTAGAGACCACTGCTATTGATTTTTGCCATAAGTCTTGTACTCGTAATGAGAAGTATATTATAGACTAAAGTCTATGAGAAGTTTTAAAAATAAAAACCAATTTATATTGCGAGACATTAATGTGTCCGTAGAGACCACTGCTATTGATTTTTGCCATAAGTCTTGTACTCGTAATGAGAAGTATATTATAGACTAAAGAGATACTCTTCCTTCATTCTCTAACAGTAAATCAACCCAACACTACACACGCCGTGACCATAATAGTTACCTAACAAACACACGACAATACATTCCGGTGACAGGAAATTTTGAGAATATATAACACCACAAGTTTTTTATTTTTCATTACATTTGCCATTATTATGTTTTCAGACATTATAACCAAAGGGTCATTCAATGTTCACATTTGCTTTGAATACATAACCTATTATTTAATTATTATTATGCCTTTTTTAATGAAAACATTGTTAATAAAGTACAGAATTTTATTAATACATTACAATATAACTTTACTATGAAATGTTATGCTATAATCCCATGAATTTCAAAATCAAAGCATTTTCTCATAACTTTATCACTTTATCTGTGAATCTGTATACTTTTTTGTCAAATTAATATGATTTTTTAGAAATTGTATTTTATTCAATGGTTTTGTACTAATTTTGATGTGAGATCTCATTTATTTTTTATTTATGTCATTTAATTCTAAGAAGATTTGCATACATTTTATTATACTTATGTAGTAATTATGTGCCGGTTATGTAACAAATCTTCAAATCTGTTATATAAGCCATAAGTTAATAGGTCAGCTGAAAACCCAGACAACACTTGTATTAATATCTTTGTAAAATCTGTAATAAAAATACGAGAAGAGTAGTCTAAAACACAAAACTATTAGTGACGCTCAGAGCTCATAATATACTGAAAGTTCTTACAGAGCTGAAATTCTGTTTCAATAGCACTCCCATTGCACTCCCATTTGCACTCTATTTGTATTCTTGAGGTAATTTAAAATTAAAATTTCAATCATATATTAGGATTAAAGTCAAAACGTTAGCACAATTTATTACAACTTTATTTATATGCAATCAAACGTCTGCGACTTGAAAGGTTATAAATAATATCATTA